ATAATGTTATATTATTAGTTGTATAATTTTAAATGTAAGATTAATTTGTAAATAACATGGTGTAATATAATATTTTATTGAAATTTATTTATTTATAATATAATTTGATATTGTCGGGCAAATATAATGTCGGGCAAATGTAATGTCGGGCAAATGTATTGTCGGGAAAACGGTGTCGGGCAATTAAGATGTCGGGCAACTGAATGTCGGGAAAAAGTACTGATCCCATAATAATTTATTCATTTTGAAACACGTATTTTACACAATTTATAAATCACAGACTTGGAATGGATTTAAAATAAACCTTTCTGCTTATTCAAGATTTATAAAAATATTTCTAGCTCAATAATTATATTTACCATTCATTTATTTATTGGTTTTGTTAAAATTCATTAATCAATTATATTTATTATTCTTACCACTAATAATCGAAATCGTAGATTTATTTTAGATTATTGATTGTTATGTAAAATTGTATACATTTGTATTCAGATATTATCCAAACTCCAAGTGTTAAACTAATATTATTCATATATACATATATAATATATATAAATATTATTATTTTTTTTATATCGTTAAATGTAGGTTTCTAAAAAGATAAAATTTCAATTACTATAAATTTTTAATTTATGGAAATTAAAATAATAATAAGAAAATGGGTTTTTGAATACTTACATGTTATATAAAGAAATGAATTCAAATTAAATATTAGAAGATGAAAAAAATATTCATTCGAGCAGAGAATATTTTAAAGAACTAAATTAATGTATATTTCGTTATATATTATGGAAAAATATATGAATTGGATTTGAAAAAAGCAATAATCCAAAAATGTCTAGCGCAATTTATTTTACTATGATGTATCCTTTAAAAATGCATCGACCTGGTAAATTTTCTACATTTATATTATAATATTTTAAATTAAAATATCATTACCTACGAAACTATCAGTGAAAAGCAATTGTTCATTTTGGTTTAAATTGAAATAAAAATATTATGTAAAATACAAAATGCGACGAGAAATTGTTTCGTTTTCAAAGGATAAACGCCGTGCGCCGTGGGCTATGAGACTAAAGCAGTTACTATTATATAATCGTGTGAAAGAAATAATATTTTCGAGGAATTTTTTGTTATTAAGGTACTTAAAACATAGAATATTAAGTAATTTTATTTTTTAGCCACATAATATCGATTTAGTAAACATTTAGAATTATATATATGTATAATGGTAAGAAATGTATTTCTGTATTTGTGCTAAAATACTAGTAATACTACAGTCGGCTATCGGTAACTCAAAATTTTCGATATCTTGAATAATTAAAATTCCCTTTCAAATAATAAAAACACTAACTGTCTTATCCAAATTTGTACTGCACACAATTTAACTTCGACTTTTAATGATATTAAAGTGCAGTTTTACCTCCTAATACTACATCTATATTACAACCATTAGACCAAAGCATGATGAATAATTTTAAAAATATTTTACCGGAAAGAAATGGTAAAAAATATTGTATCGGCTATAAATGATACCAATCAAATTGTAAAAAACTTATTGGATGCTATACGGCTATGCGATAAAACATGGCGACACGTAAAAAAAGAAACAATCGTAAACTGTTTTACAAAATCGGGTTTTAGAACTTCGACGGAAAATATTCCTTATGAACCCTTTTCTGATGATAATAACGATGAATGGGATCAATTAACTGAGAAAAAATTTTTTTTCCCTCTTGAACTTCGAGTTACCGAGAGTCGACTGTATTCTAAACTATTTTTAAGGACCTATTGACAAAAAATTAAAGTACATTACATTACATTATTTTTAGTATATTTTCGTATAACAAAATAGTTATATGAGTATCTAGTATATTATGACTAAGCAAGGCATTGTGATTATTTTGTACAAAATTAATATTACTCCTCACTTCAGTTACATAATCTTATGCATTTTTCTTGAAAAATTTCARAACATTGATTTTTTTAAATATTAGATTAAACACTAAAACTATTTTCAAAAAATCCTAATAGTTGTCAGTTATTGAATTTATAATTGATTGTAAGTTAAATTATTTCAGCCAATTTATATTGAAAATATAAATATTTTAAAATTTTTTCTCTAATTTGTTTTATGCATTTTTTAGAGCGATATCACCGATTTTTAATTTCACACTTCAATGCGGAATAGGTCTTTTTTACCAATACTTATGTACCGTCGATTAATATCTATAATAACCGATTTAGTATTTGTATATTATAATATATAAGGTATGATATTTTTAAAATTTAAAATCGTAGGGCGCATAATATTTGTGGTCATAGAGTGGAAAAAAACGTAAAAAAATGTTTCATTTGTTCTGTCAATTTTAAGTGTTCAACACTGTTCAAGTATACTCGACGTATAAGTTAATAGTTTATTTAAATATCGATAAAATATAAAACCCGAAAATATGTTTTGTTATTACAATTCTTCATCATTCACAATATTCTATAAATACTGTYGCTGCAGTAGCGTGCGATATGCATCAACCTGTATTTTATGTTGTAGAAAACTAGAGAATATATCACTTACTTGATTTCTCTGAAATTCCTGTATAGACTTTTCRAACAGTTGAGCATTTTGTATTCCGATTGCACAGAACGTCAGGTACCTTTGGAATATCTGCACACGCAAACGAGAGTCATTAGATACAAGCTGAGACGTTGGTGTTGTTAGTTTTTTATTTTTATTTTATTAAAAGAGAAAGACCAGCCGTGACGGGTACATGTATCAAACAGGCGCACAAAACAATAATTCYATGATAATTATGATGGTTTAATATGAAATAATTAATATTAATAATATTGTCAATCAAGTCGACCGGACTCAGTCATACAGGTTGTATAGGTAGTAATCATCCGTGGGCGTAGAAGAGGGCTTTTCTTGTACACTACACCTGTATAAATTTTAAATAGGCACTTATACGTTTGTAGCTTGTTCATTAGTCGTTCGAATTTCTATTTTTATAATAAAATAATATCGAGATTCCATGGAAAATAATTTGCATTGCTAGGAATAAACAAGAGATTAAAAAATGTATGATGCCATTAAAAAAAAAAAAAATGATTATTTCAAAAACGTTAAAATGTTTCGTGAAAATTAGTGATAATCTTTAAAACAATCACAGTACAATTTATATCTAGGTGTATATAAGTAGTATACATAATAATATTATTATATTAAAATTGGACGTGAATTATTTTAACTAGATATTATATTGCAGCTTATTATTATTATTTTTTTTTATTGATACGGCTTCAACATTAAAGTCATTAGCCGGGAACAAAACATGTTTACAAGTTATTTACAGTCATCTTACAGTCATCTTATTGCTTATTATTGCTATTACAATTATGACAAATACTATTAATCGAGTCGTACAACATTGCAATGACAACAATAACATCGACCACAATAAGAACACGCCTAATTTAATATTATAATATTATACCGTTGTATTGACGACTGTCCGTCGTCGTTTGTATTCAATTATTATAATAATATTAGACACTTTTAAATGTATTATTATTGAACTTGCCTCGACGTCGTGTTCGGTAAAYGAGTGACTGCCGTCGGTCTTATTGATTATCTGAGCCACTCCGATCACGTCGTTGTCGTAGTTGCAGATCGGCACGCACAATATCAAATTGGTCGTGTAGCCCGTCATGTGATCGATTTCCCGGTTAAACCGCGGGTCCTGCACAAACACGAATAATAATTACTATCGTCGTGTAAGTACCTATATAATATTCATATAAAATAAGTCATGGGCGATATGGTCATAAAAAGTACGTAGACCGCACACGCGTATATATATATATATTACATATGTCACGTGTACAAAGCGATTCACCGAACGACCAGCACAACCCCGTCGGTGTTCTATTATGTACATAGGTTGTCATCTATTGAAATTTTGATTTTTCAATTGGGTTTTCACAATAATATATTTTTTTTAACGTTTAAAAAAAACAAGTTTGTACGCCACACTCTTCGTATAACTCAAGTAACTCTTCATACTCCTCACGCGCGACACAAAATAATCCGAGCGTCTACTTGCAAATATTAAAATATGTGGCAGACTTAACAATTCCAAAACCCCTCATAAATGTAAAATATAAACGCACAGCAATGCGTTGGACGATATACAATGTGAACGAGCAAAAAAGGTGAATTATCCGGTATAGTTCTGTATATATTTCAGTTGGTTTTTTTGTAGTACACATCAGATGCCATAATATTGTTTTGAATGCTTAAAAAAAAACAAATTTGTGTCGTCACGGGATAGACTCCATTTAACATTCACACATGACGTAAAAGAATTTCAATACATTTTTTTCTTTTTCATTTATTAATTATAATTGTTTCAACAAAATGTTTGTTTTATTTCAATAAATAAAATATATAAATAATTATAACAATTATGAATCAGAATTTTAGATACAAGCGAACAATACTGGAAGATGATACAGTGTAGAGGAAGAGAACGAACAGTGAACCATCCGGGGTATAATCTATATAGGTAATATTATTATATAATATAACGTGTCCTGACTGATTCATCATCACCTAGCTAGAAGCGCAGAAGCTATATGAGTATGAAATTTAGACAGTAGTTTCATTCTATAATTTGAAAACCCCTAATAAAAAAATTTTCATAATTCAACCACTCGTGGTTAAAAGGATTAAAAATTAATGAAAATGGGAAAAATATATTTTTGCATGCATCGCTTTAAACAGTGTATTTGCACTATTTGCTATAATTATCTAAGTAGTTATTGTTAAAAATGTATCATAAAGATATTACAGATATGTTGTTTATTATATTTGTTAGTTAAAATTATTATAATAATACATTTAATGAGACCACTAATAGTTGATATGTATCGGATAAATTATATTAATGCCTATATTCAACATCTCGTCGATAACATATTATATTACATTTCGATTTTCAAGAAATAATCACAGCGGCGCGTGTCATTAGTGATTCTGTTTTTAKTATGTTTATCTGTTTTTGGTTGCTACTTAAACCTGTAATATAAAAACTGATAAAAAATAGTTATACCTAACAAAAACTGCACACGGATAAACATTCAGCCAGTATTAATATAATATAATAATTATATCTGTGATGCAGATATTTGTTTTCCAGAAATCTCATAATTTCGAGTAGACTTAGTTTATTAAATAAACTGAACACGACCAAATAAAATACATGCTTACGCTATATATTTTAATATTAACTGTATATTTATGTTTATTATATATTATATCGAACTCGACATTTTTGATATACCTAACCAAAAAAATATTATATGATCAATTCGTACTTCTCAATATAATGCATTATGTAATATAATGTACATACATCACCGTGGACAAAATAATACAAAATATTCAACTCGGAATAGTATTATTACGATTGCGTGACGGCGTGCTATATTATATAGCTGGAACGTGTGAAACGTGAGTTTAAAGCTTTTTTCTTTAAAATGGTACACCTATACTATTATAATATGTACCGAGTACGCATAATATAATATTATCGGTTTTAACTACTATACTGTATAGTCATTATTATTATTATTATTATTGTATTTTGTGTTGTATAGACCGCTAAATAAAGGAGATTCACCTAACAGTTGTAGGCATAAGTTGTTTCGAAATCGATTCATTATCCGACATCGAAAACAAAACGAAAATATGTGTGTATGTGATTTGTATAGCTGCAGATACATTTATTATATCATTGTTTTTTCCAATAGCTTAAACGATATAATATTGTGAACGCGGTAGGTGTCTTTTAGGAGCCTACATTTTGATTTAACAAGAAAATATAATATCGGTTAATTTCGTTCTTCGGTATAGCTATGCTGTGCTAGTATAACGAATAATATCCATTTTTTCTTACAGCAAACGCATTTTTATCCGCTATAAAATTAAATACATTCATTAGGTATGCAAAATTATGAAGAAACCTAAACGGGATAAATGTCCAATTAAAATGTTTAAAAGCATCTACACTTTTTAAATTTATATGAAATTCTAGCTCGTTGAATATTTTAACATTATAACAACGTTTTGATTAGCATCCTTTAATTAAAAATATTTCACTTTCAAAAACAGAGAAACATGTTAGGGCTGTGGTATGATGATAAATTAAGTATAAATACGTCGAAATTTGAATTATAAGGCTTAAATTTCCAAAACTTTGCTTGCAACTTTTTACTAATTTGGAAAAATTATAATAGCGCCTTCAGTTTCTAAAAATATGATAATATTTGAATTTACTTTTTTTTTTAAATAAGAATTCGCAATAAACTTAAGCCATATTATAAATTAATTAAAATATAAGCACAATAAGCAGAGTTTATGTTTTAATTATACTCGTAATTATAATAGTCCATATAGAATGCTTCCAATACGTAGATGATCGCTAACACTCTAGATGAACACTACTAAGACCTGACGCGGGCACAACCACACCAATTCTTATGTTCTTAAATAAAACCAAATCGTATAATCTAATTTAACAAATAATAATAATAATATTCTTTTAATCATCAAACAAAATATTATATGATACAAATTAAACACATTATGTTCAAAATTTTATAACAAGGATAATAACATAATATGGTTATTTGTTTTTGAATAACAGCAAAGTAGAGAAATTGGTTTTGTTAAAAAATGGTTTAAAATTTCAGATTTCCGATAAGTTTGTTTGGTTTTCATTGATTGTTTTTTAAGCTAATGACATTAAATATATCAAATTCGCTCTACCAGAAATCATCTTCGAAGTTTAAGATTAAATATTTTTACTGGTCCAAGTTGTGTAGATGACAAACAAACAAACAAAAAAAAAAATAGTTAAAACACTGTTTAAATGATCGCTTTGTTGTTCGGTGTACTTATGACGTGGTTCAGACTGATTTGTAATGGATACGTTTAAAAAAAAAACTTCAACGATAAATCATTTTGAATGCGATGAAAAACGATTCGTGAAGACAGTCTAACTGTTTGGTAACTTACTAGGTTACCAAATAATTATTTTAATAATAATACTAACATCCTAGCAATTATTAATTTTCGTGTTTTTTTTTTTTTTGCAATTTCCGAAAAATATAAAGGATTTTTACCTTTGATCTCTCAAAGTACAGAATAAATCCAATTTTCTACCTGCAGAAACCGTCCTGAACGTGGAAAATCAAAGCATTTTTTACACTATAAAAATAATGTTTAGATACAAAAATCATACAAATACATATCAATGTAAAATCAATACATTTCTGCTCAGAATCTAAAATAACTGTTAGAATATTTTGATAGTATTATTTGTATATATGTATTATAATTTATAACATTGTTTATTTTGCTCAAACGATTCATTAATAAATATTTTAATACGAAAATGCTAAACATTAATATGAGAATGAAACGCTGACCCTGCAAAACGTGCTACTGTCAAACAGCTGAAAAATTCACTAAACACTTTTTACAATACAATGTGAGTGTACAATATATGCGTCGAAACGTGTACGATAATAATCTATCGGGCCAATATGTTAAATCAAACTCGAAATAATTAAATATATAATATATAGTTACTAAACAATATGATGTGTTCCAGATGCACGCGTGTAGTAGATTTACTCAGAACTTCTGAGTCAGAAGTAACCCCGTATACGTCATCGTATGTATATATTATGCAAATTACCAAAAATAATCAGAAAAACTGGAAATAAGTAATTTTTTTTCTTGAAAAATCGATGAAGAGAGGTGCAAAAAAAGCACTTTTATATTTCATAATTGAACGTGTTGTAACATGGCATACACTTCCATAGTACTCTGCTACATTTTAAGTCGATCCATAAAAATAAGCAAATGCTCCAAGTCCCGATCCCTGTTAACATATATAATAATATATAATATGTTCAAACAATTTATTTTGAAAATTTTCGTATTGCTGTGTGTATTTCATGTGCACGTCACCGCACTCGGTCATATCCAGAAAGTTTGTTTACTTTGTAGACGTGAACTTCCACGTAAGTGTGCCAGTGGCATTGGAGGCGTTCCGTCCTATTGATTATACCATAATAATAGTGCCGTTTGTAAAATATTATTTACTTAGAATCGAGGTTTCTAACACACGCTAAGCATAAAGGCGCATTAATTAAAAAAATTATCAATTTAATAGTTTAAACACTACACGCCGTGATTATACTATGCAGTATAATATGCACAAACAGTCGTCAACCTTATTTTTAAACTTGCCGACGGTTTTATACCAATAGTTATTTCTTTGGTAGTTAAACAAATGTGGATTATATAGTTACATTACGTAAATATTCGATTTAGATCTACCAACAAATTCCAACTCTTAATGTTTATTTTCCGTTCAGTCGATTTTGTTTAACAAAAGGTTACACGCTTGTGGCGTATATTGTTTTGTCTCCGTCTTATATTACTATATTGCTCATAAAATTGCAAATTTGTGTCTAACAAAATCTGCTTTGTGTCGTTAATTTTAACTTAAGGGTGGATTACTTATTACCGCATTTATAGTTAGGAATAACTTATTTATCCTATAGCCTACAACGGGACGGGGCTTCAATATTGGTAATCATTTTTTGTACCAAGCTATATGTATTTATGTTCGATCATGTTTTTACATATTTTATCAAAATCAATTAG